GACACACATTGGGGAGGCCAGGCTATTGCCCGAATGGAACTTCAATGGGAAGCGACGAGTAGGTCGTCAGTGAGAGGGTGATATGGAGGAGATTATGAGAGTTTGAGGAGATGAGAAATTATGGGCTGTCATGGACCAGCTGAAGAGGACGGCAGAAAATAGAAGAAGGTGGAGATGTGTTGTTGAAGCTCTATGTTCCACTCGGAAGGCAAGGGAATAATAATAATAATAATCTAGTATAGAATTACATCGTACCACAATGCCCTAGTCCTACACTTACATTAATATCTCATTTCTCTTTATTTCTATTATCAGTGATTAGTTGCCTGAAGGTTATTCTAAGAATTCTTCTGACTATGTAAGCTAAATGTAAGGTATCAGCTTGTAACGCTTTTTAACAGTTTAAATTTGTTGTTATTGTTGTTGCTGTTGTTTTTAATGAATTTACCAGAAAGGGCCAACATTATCGTCAATCGACCAGTAAGTAAGTAAGCAAGTAAGTGGATACCTACTTGATATATAGAAACAAAAGAAACTACTAATTTCGTCTTCTCCATTCCCTTTTTTCCCAAAAGAATGTCTACTTTCCCTATCATTTAATTTTTCTTTTTTTTAAAAAAAGTCTTTAGGGATTTGTTGCTTACTATACTACTGACTTTATTAACATGGCTAACTTTTATCAATAAGGGAAGAAAATAACATGAGATGAGAATTGTGCATTCCACTCTTTCCATCCATCCTTTTTTTCCCAACCAAGCTATCGTTATGTTGAAAAGACTAATCATATAATTGACGTTGTTAAGAGAGAGAGAGAGAGAAAAATATATATGTCGTACACACAATGTGCAAGCCTCAGTATCTATTTTAGTAGTAACTGAGATTAAAATGACAAATTACTTCATTTTGTAAATATGAAAGCAAAAACACATAGACAGAAAAGAAAACCCAATTTGAAGACTGGTGTTGGCTACTGTGTAGGTGAAGAGATTGATTTCTACACTGTTTATGCGTATAAATATTCTGTCTTATGTCCTCGTAACATGTTTTGCTTATTTAGACACACACACACACAGAGGCAAGCACATGTAGAATGGAATTTATGAGTTAATTCACACCTTTTATATTTATCCTAGAATTTGGTAATTATCCCTTTTGTGTATATTCTAACATTGTCTTCTACTACTAGACGTGTTTTGTTTTATGCCTCATCTTTCAAACACCGCTGGATACAAAATTCATTTGAATAAATAAAAAAAAGAAAGGAGGCTATTCATTTGGAATTATTTCGACGAGATCATTAATCATAAGTGTATTTACATATATCACACCATTTAACTGTCACTGGTGTTGCCTCTTCTTCTTCTTCGTCTTGATGTACTCCTCTTTCTCTTCTTTTTTTTTCCTATCCCAACCATTCCTCCTTCTCCCTTTCTCCATTTCCTTGCTTCCTTTTCATTTCTGTATTGTAAAACAAGGAACACGCACGTACACACAAACTTTTCATGAAAATTGTTTCATTTCCCTTCTTCATTCTTAACACTTTCTGACAGTCATGATTAGATCGCAACTGTTCTAGTTATTCAGGGTTTTGACAACTGTTTTGACTATTTACTTATTTGTCGACTAGTGCGTGTATGTGTGTTCCTAAGTTTTCACTCTGTTTACCCAGTAGTCATTCTTACGATGCATAATATTAGAAAAAACATGGACACGTACAGTGATATAAAGAATTCACAACAAGAGAGAGATTCATTTTCGTCATTAACTTTGATCACCGTCAACAGTATCATCAACATCGCCTTCATCACGCTTGTCATATCCGTCATAATGATTTATACTAGCCACTCATCATACACATACATGTATGTATCTATGGCACAAAGGATAGACATTAACATATGTGTACTACAATAGCAGAAGTAGAAAACACTCACTACAGACTGTGAACAGTGGCATTTTACAGTGTTATAAATCTTTTAATAAAGGTATAGTATACTATGAAAATTACAAAATTACAAAATTGGGATGCTGAAAGATTTTTCTAAGTCTTCTTATTGTTTGTAATTAGTTCTAATTTCTTTTTAGTTAATTTATATTGATAGTATACTGTAGACGTTCTGCCAGCAAGTTAGTCAACCTAATCAGTATATTTGTTGTCTGTATAGTTTCGTCTCAGCTATCTACATATTTTGCTTTATCTAATTATCATCTTTTATATTAAGACAACTACTTTAATTAACTATTTGAAGTATTTTCTGTAGTTGGTTTGTGAGGATTAGATTTGTTTTTACGAGTTGATCAAGGATTGATATCAGTTAGAAAGCCATTGGGAACCAGCAGGGATTACTGGACACCTGTTTACCATTGGGATTCGAACCCAGGGCCTTCCGGTTACAAGGCAAGCTCGTATACCATTGAAGTATGTTACTCAATTGATTATTTATTCAATAATCTTTGTTACAGGATTTCATCATGAGCTGACATTGGTTAGAAAACCATTGGAAAACCTGCAGGGAGTACTGGACAGCTGTTTCGTCCTAGTTTTGGACTCTTCAGCAGCATGTATCCACTGGGATTCGAACCCAGGACCACCCGGTTACAAGGCGAGCTCGCACACCATTAAGCCACTGGGACCCGATCCAATGGCCCATGAATAGTTCTCTAACCAATGTTAACTCATGATGAAATCCTGTAACCAATCAAACAAATCCCTAAAAACCAATACTTGAATATCAATAATCTTTATTTTCATAATAAACGAGATATAACTAGTGTCTACTAAGGAATCACCACGACAATTTAATGGACAATGGACAACTGTTCTTATTTGGTGGATGGTGACTTGTAAGGGAATCCAAGATGCACATTTCTACCTGACTGGGACTTTATAACTGGATGTATCTGCATCCCATGTAAGTGATTGCGTCCCAATGAGACTCAAACCTGTCAGTCAAGGTTTCAAACTCCAAAATTTTATTCACTAGACTGATTGCGTCACGAGAACTACGTCTTGTTCAACCAGTATCAGTTATTATTTGTCAGTGTTGATCAATGGGAAATACGCTGTGTCTTCAAAAACACTCCTCTTTTGCGTTCGACAGTAAAAGATAAACTGCCTAATTTCACCCTTCCATGTTTATCTACCAATTTAACTGCTCCTGTGGAGTGAGCCAGTTACATAAGCCGTACAATTAGGCATGTTTCTCGTCGAATTTCCGAACATCGCCCTGTATGATTAAGTAAAGGACAAACAAAATCCATTCGTAACGCTATTCTATCTCATCTTATGGATATAGAACACAAGACTGACGTTAACCAGGCCTTCAGAGTCATTTACTGCATACCAGAAAATCTTAGTTTCGCCTTAAAAGTTCGATTACTATATATTGCTGAGTCCGTTGGGATCCATATTAAGAAGCCTAATTTGTGTGTCCAAAAGAAGTTAGTTCAGACATTATCATTACCTTGGTCATCTAAGTTTGAATGATCCTCAAGTTTTGCGGAATTTTCTCAGTTTTAGTTGATATTCTATTTGCTACTATATCTTTGTTATTATTATTATTATTTAAGCATCTTTAGTGGGCTGTAATTCCATTGTGATCTTACTTTACAAATCGATATTATTAAAAAAAACCTAATATTGTTATTGACTACTATTCTAGAATGTTCTATATATATATATAACTAGCGCCAGAAAAGGAAATTATCAACTTACAACACAACATAGTCATCATTCAACTATCGTTTACAGGTATTTTCTCCTATCGTTTTATTACTAATATTTACTCATCCAACAACAGATTACTTCTAATAGGAGGTTTTAGAGGTTTATCTGAAACTCTTGCTTCCTGTTTCATTGTCTGTATAGTTTTGGTCAATAAAATGTTAACGGTAGAGTTACTTCACTGGTACAATTCATCAATAAATATGGTCGGTGTAGGTAAATGATAAGGTGGAAATTGGCGCAAGATTATCACTTATACATACTATGACGTATTCATTCTTACACTCATTGATGACAACATTGTCATCCAGGTTTGTACAACTCACATGCACCTAGTGAACAGATTATCTTCGATAAGATGATATTCAACAGATACCTAAGTGCCAACTGATGACTAGTCACTATTTTGCCTCTATTATTTGTCAACATCCTTTTGAACATCTATAACATATCATAATAACACATGTTTAGTAAAGAGGGTGTGAACGACAACTTTATTGGTCAGTGATTCAGATATATATGGAAATGAGAATAAAATTTCAAAGTTCATGGATATTTTATAGACGGAAGCAATTAACTAATTCTTTTTATATTTGTCTGTCTATAGCAGTTTCATGGTGAGACCACTTCTTCAGTCATTATAGGCAGATAATTAATCTTCTCAGCTACAGAAAGCACGTATAAGGATTTCAGAGGCATGATCAGAAAAGCAGGACAAACCTTCATTAGTCTGAAATCGCCGTAGAAATATACTGCACTAAGCATAAAGAAGATGATTCTGATTTTCAACTCTAACGTCAGATAAATGCTCTTCTATGGCTCAGAGACTTGACGCGCACGACATGAAAACCATTTCGAACAGGTTTCAGAATTTCATAAATAACTGCCTTTAATCCATACTGAAGAGATCAGTTGACTGGGTAGAAAGGAATAACAATAAGGGGATCTGGGAACGAACCAACCAACAACCTACTGCCTTACAAATATGCCGAAGAAGGTGTAGATGGTTCGGATACTTAAAAACTGGGGAGACCATTGAGTGATACCATGCTCAAAACAGACCATTGAGTGGAACCCAAATGGGAAACAGCGAATCAGGCGTCCGAGGGTGACATGGAGGAGACTGAGTGAGATGACGTGACAGCTTAAGGGAAATCATGGTGCGGGCAGATTGGATTGCACAGAACTTGCTGTTGAAGCCCTAAGTCCCAGTCGAAACCTAAGGAAAACTAATAAATCGCTAAATGACTGAGTGAAAGGAAAAGAAGTACACGAATAAATGTAATAATTATATGTATATTAAGTAAAATTTGATATGCACTCGATTTTTTTCTTCAAATAATCTTCAAACTGAAGAAAATAAACTAAACAAGAAAGAGGTAAAGTAAAGAACAAACACCTGTTGCCAGCTAGACTGGTCACTTCAGATTAACATCAATATTGAAACATACATGCGCTGTTATAGGTGAAATAGGTGACTGTCGATGAATATAGAGGTGAGGAGAGGAGGAAGAAGAAGAAGAAGGAGGCAAATGAAAATTACCCAACAATATTCTTCGTGAATTGTGTTGATTTGAAATGTATAGCAGTCAGTTTACAGAAGAGTTAAACAATCATCTTTTGTCTATACTTCATATTTCTTGAATATGTGTGTGTGTGTATATATATACGGATAACGGAAGTAGTTGTGTACAAAAGTAAATGTTCCGTATAACCACTTGATACTATCCTGGTGTGTTGTTCTTCTGATTTGTTTTTGTCAAGAGAGGGGAGGCAGGATAGGATAAGTAAACAAATATATATGAAAAAGGCATTTTTCAATCTTTTCTACATAAAAATCTTAACTCCATAATACTGGTTCAGTCATATGCTGATCATTTGTAGTACGATTTTGTTCATCTTGTTCCTGTTCATGGGGATAACACTGTTGCTTTTGATCTTGACGATGATGCATAGGAATAGAAGGATGTTGTAATAAAGGAAGACAGGAGGAATTGCTAAAAGCCATTTTAGAATTTTTATCACTCATACCGCTTGTTTTATTATTAGTAGTAGTAGTAGTATTAAACTCATTGGATTGAATAACAGGTGAATTATTTTCCGGCTGATTCACTTGATGCGTAGTACGATGTAATGCCAGAGTACGTGATTGACAAAATCCTTTACCACAAATTTCACATAGGAATGGTTTCTTTGAGCTATGCGTAAATCTATCGAAGGATAAAATAAATACATAAGTGAAAGATATATCTCACAATCACACTGAAAGGATAGGCTATATATATAAGATATTGCCATCCGGCCGATGAGAGCTACTAGAGGATCCCAGGTACACGTTTCGTCCTTACTTGGACTCATCTACTGCACATACCTACACCTCCAGTGAGTAATGTTATTCTTACGGTTTCAAACCAAAGGCACTGTCGAAGAATCTGTACTAGGAGCCGGCATGTCTTGTAACATCAATTGATGGGTTATTCGAAGGTATGTCTTTTCCTTTATTTCTATGGCTACGCTAAAATCTCATAGTGATAGTGTAGTATAACGTACCTCAAGGACTGCGAAAGTGTCGAAGTTTGAATTCACAATTGGTGATTCAATAACAACATTTCATCAACAAAATGTGCTCCTACTACTGTTCTCTCATTTTGAGTACACATCAGTGGGAAGTCCTAAATTAAGACAAAACGGGCATCCATTGATCTCTTATTCTCACTAAAATATTGAATTCTGTAATAACTAAGTGACTGATATTTGTCATCGCTTCACTCAGATAGACGATAAAAAGTAATACTGTTTATTTCTATAATGTGAAAAGAAAAGCAAAAATGGACATTACTTACCTATGATCTCTTAAATGATCCTGTCGTCGAAATGCCTTACCACAGACATCACAAGGAAATGGTCTTTCATTTGTATGTGTACGTTCATGAATTAAAAGATTGTAGGATTTTGTAAATTGACGTAAACAAAATCGACATATATACTGTTTACGAATTCTATGAAGCAAAAGACAAAATAAATGGGGACAAGATGAGAAATACTGATCAACTCTTTAACTAGGTTTAAAAATACACCCAACAGTCTCTACAAAAATCCAACTGATTACAGTGTTTATATGTGTGTGTGTCTGTAAAACAACTCCTTGCCCCTAAAATCAATGAAATGAAGTGCCCTAATCAAACACACATTGATGAATATTAGAATTTTTAAGTATTGGTTTTGTAGGGATTTTATTTGATTGGATGGAGGATTTCATCATGAGCTGACATCAGTTAGAGAACCATTGGAAAACCTGCAGGGAGTATTCGACAGCTGTTCCTTCCATCTTAGTTTGGGACACTTCATCAGTAAGCAATCACACTGTGGAGTTCGAACCCAGGACCTACTGCTTGCCAGGCGAACTCGTAAATGAAATCCTCCAACCAACCAAACAAAATCCATACAAAACCAATACTTGAAAATTAATCGGATGCTCACTAGCTACTGGCCCTATTCAGGTAGGTATTTGCCTGGGGTTCTAGTGGGAAGCTGTAACCAGTAGGGTGCAGCAGGTTGAAGGTGAGGTAGTAACTCATCGGCAGAGACATTTTGAAGTGGTGGCATGATATAATGAATTAGTAGAAGTTGGAATTCATGCACTGGCCAGTGGATCGCGTCTTAGTGGCTTATTGGTGTACGAGCTCGCTAGCCTTGTAACTAAAAGGTCCTGGTTTCGAACCATGGCGGTGGGTGCTTACTGTGAAGAGTCCTAGAGTAGGCAGACGAAACACCTGTGCAGTACTCCCAGGTTTTCCAATGGTTCTCTAACTGATGTTAACTCATGATGAAACTCTCCAACCAAATATTAGAAGTATTCACAAAGAAGTTCTTTATAAACATCACACTGTTTGTTTAAACAATGATCTCCTGAATTCTTTGAAATGCTCTAAAAGTCAATAGACTTTAGTCCCCCTCTACTAACACGTGAATACTCTTATAAAAGTCAGATTATAATTGTGCATAGAAGGAACACACTGAAGTAAAGAAATAACGATCATAATAGTATTAATAACAATTAATAATAATCACCTTCTGCGTGATCCATTATGATTTACTTTGTCTTCTTTTGGAGGAATCAATCGACCACAATTTACACGTAATCTGTTAAAAAAAGGAATTCAAAGTGAAGAAAACCACAAAATAAAGCGAATGAAAGTAGTTCAACAAAGATATTTTTCTTCTAACTAACATACTACTAAAATAAGTATTTATAAATAAATCTCTTCTGTCACTATTATACTTTTTACTCCTCTGCATTCCGAGTGGAAAATAAGACTTGAGACTTCAGCTTTAAAGTTTCACTAGCAGAGGTGTTTATTTCGATTTCACGGGGTGGGGTTGCTAGCCTCAACCCCAACTTTCCTCTTTACTAAGTGAGGTTTAGTAGTACTTCGACCGGGAAATGAACTCGGACTACTTGCTTGGGTGGCTGACGAGCATCCTATCACTGAACCACCGATGTATCACTTGATGGCCGGAAAAACTCAACACAGAGAACGTTAGACTGAAAATCTAAATGTCTGTATTTCGATCCCGGGTTCCAGCAATCGTTTGCATATTTTGCACAACTCACCTACTATTATAAGTAATAAAATATAACTGGAATAGGTGACTAAAGTCAGAACCTAGTTGATAGCTCGGTCTCTTGACTGAGCTGGTAGAACATGGGGTCGCTAGTTCGAGTCCTGCCACTACCTAGATTTCTTCATTTCACCCCCAATTATCACTCGTCACACTAATAATAATCTCCCAGACCGAATCACAATATCACACATAGTTGTGTAGAATAAAGTTCATACATATTTCAAATAAGGAGTTCATTTGAGTAATCTGAAATAAAATCCCTAAAAGGCAAATGACTGGCTGATTCAATACACATTCACACGTTAAACTAATGGTGGAATTTAACAGTCTCTTATCTAAATATTTTATCTCATTACCAAACTGAAATAATTCCGGATGAAATCTCAATTTAAAGAATTCAAGTAAATTCAAATAAAATGATTCAGTCACAGGAACAAAAACTTAAGTGAATTATAGAGTTTCTATTTTACCTTAGTCTTATACAGTAATTCGAATTTCGTTTCCTCATATTTAAACACTATGCTTAAATGGTTTAACTAAATTAATGGTGAAAAAATATTTGCAATGAGGATTCAGTTTACTTCATGAACTTAGCTGTCGTACGATGAAATATTTCAAGCTGTTGGAAATCCCTGTCAAGTTTAGATTTCGTCACCCATCATCTTGACTTGGATAATCATTGTAAAATGGGGAACATCACAGTACTGATTAGTCTTATTTCGGAGCACTTCATCCTTGTATTACTATCACCTTACGAGACACAGAATCCAGAATGTTCGGGTTACTAAGCTACCACGTTACTATTCAAATAATGTATCGGAATCTAACTTTCCATGAGAAAGCAACACTGCCCGACATAATGAGCCTTCAAGCAACACCTTCTCATTAAAAATCCAGGGAATCCATCATGTAATCATTCACAAACGACCAGTGGGTTAATTTTCAAATATTGAACTAATGGGGATTTCGTTAGTTGTGTAACCTGAAGATTTTGGGCTCGACCTATACTTTGGTCATAAACACTGGTGAGATGCTTTGAAATAGGGCGAAATAGCCACTCAAAGCTATCCGATTTTCCCTGATTCCCTAAGTGACTTGCGTTCACAATTACATTCAACCAGAAATTTATCTTACTGCTTCAGACTAAAAATTTGGATATTTATGTGGGAAAAAGTTTTATTTTTTAGTTGCGTAATCTCTTAATTATCGAAGCTCTTGTCCAATAGTGCCTAAATATTCACCAGACTTGTGGTGAAAAAAGGGGACAAGTGGAACACTCCAAGTACCATGTAAAGATAGTTTTTTTTCCTTCACGTTCCCAGTGGAACATAGGGCTCCAAGCTAGTGGCTTGAAGTTTCTGTAGCAGTGTTTATTTTTACACGATAGCCTCATGCACAACCTTTCCTCTTTATCAGCATTATTTCTGGCATAGAGAGGTAAAGGAGTGCGTCGGTGGCCGGTGATCAAACCCAGGACCACATGCATGGCTGGCGAGCGTGCTAACCACTGTGCCACCGACGCACATTTAAAGAAAGATACTCGCCGATTAAATTGGTTGGCGGTGGGGCTATAACATAGTGAACTGGCTGAAGTTAGAATCCAGTGGTCATCACATTCCCTTCCAGTGACTGAATATTAACGTAATCGCCAGTTAACCTACGGGTTCTGTGTTCCATCCTTAGTAGGCTGCTGTATACATATTACTGAATAGTCCTGTAGTAGGGTCAAACAACTGTCCAGTGCTCCTTAGTTTTCAGTGATCTTATAGTGAGTTTCAGTTTGTGATGAAATCCAAGATGTCGCTCAATAAGTTATAAGTAGAAACCATTAAGGTTATATTATTATTATTTACTATATCCTTTAATTCCTAGAGGAACATTGGGCTTCAGCTGCGCGTCTCCATTGCCTTCGGTTTTCTGCCAACTTTTTCACTCCACTCCAAGTCTGCCCACATGCTTTCGTCTCCTCCTCACATGACCTCCTCCAAATCACCCTTGCACCGACGACCAACTCACCACTTCCCTTTCGGGTTCCACTCGAGCGATGGCTTGTCTAGTGATGTCACTTGATGGTTTCCTCAGAGTATGGTCAATCCATCTCCATTTCTTCCTGCCTATTTGTTGCACAATCGGTTCCTGGTTGGTTCGCTCCCAGAGATCCCTGATGCTGATCTTTTTGCCGGCCATCTGATCTTGAGTGGTATTGAGCGAAGACAACTGTTGATGAAGGTCTATAGTTTGTTTGAGATGCTCTTTATGACTCGTCAAGTCTCTGATCCGTATAGTGAGTAGCACTGACTTCACATTGGAGTTGAAAACCCGGATGTTATTTTTGATGCTGAGTGTTATTGACCTCCACACAGACTTGAGAGTAATGAAAGCCTGTCTTGCTTTTCCGATTCTGGCTTTGATGTCCTCGTCAGTCCCACTTGTAGTTGAAACGATGCTTCCCAGGTAGGTAAAGAAGTTGTTTCTTTCAGGTTCCTCCCATTTATGCTGATTGTTGCCTTTGTTGTTGTTGCTGTTGGTGTTGGCCAGGAATCTTCATCACCTCTGTTTTATCTATGTTCACTTGAAGTCCTATGTTTGATGCTTCTTCTGTCAGCTTGTTGCTTTTCACTTGCATATCTTACAGTTTGTGGGAAATCAGACATATATCATCGGCGAAGTCCAGATCCTCCAAGTATTTTGTGTGGGTCCATTAAGGTTATAAAATCGTGAAATTATGATGGAGTGAGACAACTTTTCTTACAGAGTTTTTAGGATAGTTTAGTGATGTACTACAATCTACCATTAAATGGGGGAGGGAAACAGACTTGAACTAAAACTCATAAACACTTCGATTGTATTTAAGGGTATATTACGTAATGTGAAATAAATGTCTAGTTATAGAATATATGTTAAGTGTAAGATAGATGAGTGCACATTACAGTCGGTTGTCAAACATAAGTTAGTTAAGCAATTCTCAGTGTTTGCATCCTCTAGCTTACTTATAAAAGATTCGGCAGACATTCAGAATACTTCTAATTTACATCCCATCATGATAAGATTTTTCATTTATATCGTACCTATTAACCTTAACAGGTAGTATGCATTTTGAAAATGCTCAAAGAAATATCATGAATCTGTTATATTCTGTGAAGCTGGACACTATTGTAACGAGAGAAGACAATGGCCAGGCAACAGATCGTTTATTGAGAAAATCAACAGATATTTATAGATTTTTATGTACATTATTATTCGTCATTATTAGCAGGGGATCAGCGTCTTCTGATTGGTTGTTTTCCTACTGAAGGTTATTATGTCATCTCTATGTTGCTGTTTCAGAGAAAGTCCGGTGATTTATTTGAGAATCGTATCCGCCCACGCTAAGTCTGCTGTGATTGGTTATTCAATTCCTCAAGGTTAGGCTTTCCATTATGGGTAAATTTTTGTTTTGATAAAGTCTCACAGTGTTATACAGTAATGTTTACTGATGACGTTTCGAGCACAATTTATTGCTCATAATCATATCGCCATGATATGATTATACTCTACCACAGTGCACAAGTTTTATTCTTATATTAAGGTTAGGCTTTGTTCTTGTTTTTTTATCATGATCCCGATTTGGGACGTAAACATTGACGTCAATTGTTGTCTACAATTTTGTCTAACAGATAGCTCTCACCCACTATCACTTCATTTAAACTTCTGAAGGCAATCATTCCTTGCTTTCCGAGTGGAACGCGGGACTTCAACCTCCGATGTTTTAGTAGCGGCAGTGTTCTTTTGATGTCCAATCCTCCCGTCTTCCTACATTTACTACGGGATAGTACATTGGGTGAGGTTTACGTGTGAGTCGGCCGGCAATCAAGCCTGAACCTGTGACATGGTTGACAAGCATTTTGCCATTAAACCACCAATACATAAAGGAAAGTTAATCAAATGTAAGAAGTTATACAGCTTTGTACAAGATGACTTATTAAGTCAATCTTAAGTGAAAATGATAACTAGTCATGTTTTATCTCAATTGAATAGATGTTATAAAGAGTTATATTTCAATAGTCTATATACAGAATAACAGAGGAATCAATTAGTCGACATAAGTTTTGTTTTATTCAGTTGAATCAATTAATGAAAGTCTCATTTATTTATTTATTTTACTCAAATATTTAACGACAAAAACTGAAAAAAATACTCACACGTTCTTTAAAATATTTCAAAATATGTAAGTAATATATTACTGATTTAACACGTCCATCAGAAAAAAGAGTGAAAAAAAAGGAATTAAGAGTTTAAAAAAATATTATTTCTCTCTAAAATATATTACAGTAGTTTTTGTGGCATTTTGTATACTTAAATACACAAGGATATAATGTTACCTTGGTAACAATGTACTCAGAAGCCTATGTATATACTCGTTGGTATATGCGATTATTAATCTGTCTAGTGGCACGTATGACTATATAAGCGCATCAGTCACATTCCGTCAACAACCAACCAACTAACAGACCCATGTACAACACACACACACACAGACAAAGTCAAATCTCCAATCTAAAGGTGTGCATAACACATGAGCAAAATCTTTTTTTTCACGATAAGACACATTCTATATTAGTAGAATTTCTGAGTCCATAACTGTTTTGATAATGATAAAATCAAAAGAACAGTAAAGAATTTGGATATACATTTTTATTTGAGTCAACTGAATCCAATCTTTCGATTGGTTAGTCCGATAAATACATTAAACTATTATCTTTAATGAGTATTTATAGTTTTATTTATTTACGTGTCCATTTTAAGATAAATATTTTTTGTAATCATCAATGTGTGTTAATTAAATCGAGCACTTCTGGTAACTAAGATGGATAAGAAAAAAAGGAAATGATAACTTTCATTCATCGTCCATAATTTGTTTGTCTGACTATCTCTGCGTATGTGCGTGGGCGTTTGTGAACGTCTGTACGCATGACACACGCACACATAAAGCATGCCACACATACACATACCGTCCCTTGGAATAAACGATTATACACTCACTAGTCGGTTAGTTCATAAGTAGTGAGATAGGCAGCACAGTTACAACACATTTGAATTATTTCTTTTTTCAAATTTTATTTTGTATTTTATCAATTTCATCTTGTCCAAATTTATTCCTACCTTCTGATCCAGTAGGTGAAATTGTGATTACAATTAACAGAAATGGTCAGTTGTTAATTATAGTCGATAAGTAGTGCGCGTAATTTGTTTCGTCTTAAAAAATATTATTATTATTATTATTATTATTATTATAAATAACAAACAAAATTACTTTAGAAATTTACACAGATTGAAATTTAGGTTAGAATTGAAATTTATTTAAAGTTTTTGTTACATTGTATTTGTCTATTTCATTTTTTAATCAAAGTACTGTGCATTTCATATGCCTTTGTTTGTGTGCGCTTGTATGTGAATAAAAGTATTGTTGATCCTCAAGTGGTATTTAGAACAGATAAACTGAGGCACATACACACACATGTATACAGGTGTTCTGCGCGATGAACATGCACACAAATCCCTGTGCATACAATATTACGTTCAATTACAATAATATTGTAAAGCACGTAGTTGTTCACAGAAATCGATTCGATATTGTTAATCATAATAATAAGAGAATGAAATAATATGATTAAAGTTACTACCACTAATACTATTACTGTAGTGAGTGCTACTTATAACCTGATATAAGTAGTATATCAGTAAACGAGTTCAAAAAAGCAACAAAATGCCTAGGACATTGGAAAAACCAAATCGAAGAAGAAAACTGTCAGAAGAACGTTACAAACAGTGTACAGAATCCAACAAGCTATCGATTGTGGTGATATTTGACCAATTTTAAATGATGTGCAAATAAAGCACTGAAGATAAGGTATACCTAATTTATATACCTACAATGAATTTGCTCGATAGACGCTGGCCCTGTCAGGCAAAAGTCCGACACAAATACAGATGGAATCCGAGCAGAAGCATTGAAAATGGACCCACAGACAACAGCGGACTTGATGACGCCTTATCGGTCTTTTCTTCTTTACCTTATTACCATTACTAACATTTAGTTGTATATCACTGACAGTTATAAATGAGTAATCTTCACTTAATTTGTTCGAGCTAGTTTATACATTAAGTAATAGTAGTGGATTTTTTATGGACGTTAACAGTCAGGGGTCTTATCTACTGAAAGTATTCATTACCATTCGGTTCACTGATGTCACTAGAGTCGTTTTTTGTTTACCAACTTTTATTAGTCAGCAGTTGGTGTACCCAACAAGACTGATTTCAGTGACTGAATATTAGTTTCTTAGATAAATGACAACAACTTATAAAATCAGCAAATTTTTATATTTGTACTCTTCGTTTAACTTAAAATATGGAATCATTCAACCCTTAATGAATAAAATCTATATATATATATACAAACATACCTTGAATCTGTAGCCTTCAGATGAATTCCAGTTAAGCGATTACTTCTGTTTTCTTTAAAATTTACAATCCGCCTCTCCATTGCTATGGCTGAAATGGTTGTTGTTGTTGTCGTCGTCGTCGTTGAAGCTGCTGCTAGTATTGACGACGATATGGAGGATGACAGAGGTGACAGTACCCCTGATGATGAATTCATCAATGATGATTCAATGTTGTAAACACTGGAATTATTTGTAGTTTCAATACTTCTACTGATCAACTGTTGATTGGGATAATACTGATTTTCATGATGAAATTGCATTGATTGCAGATTAAATGATGATGAACTGGGCACATTTCGAATGCTATTCACTTCAGCATCAATACACGATTGTGCTAAATGTTTAAAATCAAAGTGTGTTTCTACTGGATTCATCAGAAAAATAACAAAACGAGGGGAATATAAAGTGAATATATATATTTTTGTAAAGGGAATAGTATGATAATAATAATTTAAGAAAATAATTTTAAAGCAAATCAGAAATGGCGAATAGACCATTGCAAATGTCTTCATTGCATTCAGAATGCCACTATTGAACACCAGCTGTATATCGTGATACACTTTTTATTTCAGCACGGGTGATTACAGTTAGCTAACTTAGTTCCTCCTATCAATTATCAATTGGGTAAATCTGAACGGTTGGAGAAATTCATGCTGCTTTAAACCTTTGAACTAGAATCATTCAACGTCTAGGTCACCAGCTTGACATTCAAGACCAAAATAAAATCGCATTTTAGTTTGCAGTTCAATGTTATATAGCTTGTTTACAACATAGGGCAGAGATTTCATTCAAGACAGCTCGAAGCTAGACTACTACACTGATCCTGATCTGATGATCAGTCGTGTCTACAGAGTGTTGTTCGTGCTTTCTCAGTCATGCTACATACAGCCTGTTTATGAGCAACAGTGCGCAAAAAATCCAGCTTCGTTGTACTTTACATACTACTGAGTAATGTATATGAGTAGTTGGATACCACTGACATCAACCAGTAGTGATTGCTACCCAGAGTAAAGTGATTTAAGCACTGAGCGACAGTTACACTTGTTTAGGACCTAGATCACTACCAATGTACCAAGTTTAACTCGACTCAAACCACCCAGGTGATTGCCTTTTATGATATCAAGTCGCTCACTCATTTTGAACTGAGTAATTTTGGTTCCCAAAAAAACGGTGATGAAATTCCACCTCGAACTGTGTGTAAACTGAAAATTCTGAATTCGATTTATAGTAGTTGATTCATGTTAGACAATTAGGCAATGGATGAAAAATATTCAAATCAACAAGTTTCCCGGTGATTTCTGAAATTTTTTTGTTCGGACACTCATCAGTAACTAGCGTAATGTGTCTAGTCCTATATTTGGTGCAGACTGAATTCTGTCAGTCAAGTTTGCAATATGGCCACCAACCTAGGTGACTTGTTATCACGGTGTACTGTGTACTGCCTCCAACCATCTAGTATAGACAATTCACAGTGTACCGCGATAGTGAACCACCTAGCATGCTGGTCATATTGCAAACTTGATTGATAGAATTCAGTCTGCGTCAAACAAAAGACTAGACACATTACACTAGTTGCTGACTAGTGTCTGATAAAAATATCCACTACAGTCCTCCAGGAGGTCGATCGTGAGCGTGAATAACTCAGTGGTAACGTCTGTGACTGCAGCACTGGGTGACACAGGTTCGAATCTAAGAAGGGATATAAGTTTCTTGAAGGATGCAGATACGCCTTGCTGACAAGTGCCAACTAGAACGAAAGCTAAGTAGAAGGTTTCTTGGCAATTGCCTCCAACTATCTAATATCGACGATTTATAAATCGACTACTTAAATCAATCGGTTACAGTTTCGTGTATTATTGATATTAAACCGTGTTATTTACTGTTGTTTATCATTTCTAAGCTAGAAGAACTAATCTCTGTTGATATATAGTCTTGCACAGCTGACGCTTCAACGAAAACGATGAAACAACATTCAGCTGACAAGAAAGACATCAACTAGAAGATCGTTAGAAAAGGACAAATGCTAGTACAGGCTGTTCATTTCAATATAGTAAAAATAAACAAATAGTTATAAATTCTACTGGACAATAACTGCTAGCAGTGTATGCATGAAAGGTTGTTTTCTTAGGTTAGGAATCCTACTGGGAAGAATGCGTTCTGAATTTCATTTCCATTGAGAATACCATCAATTACTCACGTGCATTCAGCATTCTACTGCTAACCACCAGTCTGTTAAATAATAATTTCATGTACCTCTGATAAATAAACAAGTACTCATCAGTGTACTAATTTCAAAAGAATGTGTGTGTTCGAAATTAGACCATTTACTCATCATAAGGGTGAGTACAAAACTTATCTCCAGAAAAAATTCACTCCCCCCGTTCTTTCCTATCTCTTTGATGTAATAGGTTTGAGACGATCAATAAAAGTCTGAATTTCCTCAGGTAGTTAGTGTTGTCCACGACTTTGCGTGATTTAAAAGAATATTCCAATCATTTCAAATGTCACATTTACATGTCTTAAAAGTGTTTCTTAGATTTTTCAGGTAACTGTAATATTTTTACGAGTTGATCACGGATTGATATCAGTTAGAGACCCATTGAAAACCAGGGAGTACTGGACAGTTGCTTCCTCCGTCCTAGTTTGGGAATCATCGGCAGTACGGTCCGCACAGCAGGGGGTTCGAACTCAGAACCTTACGGTTACAAGGCAAGCTCGTATACCATTCAGCCACTGGGACCCGATTCAACGGCTCATGAATTGTAACTTCTACTGTAATATTTATTGAGTTGTTCGTTATAGTATGCGCGAAAATACCTTGTAATTCCCCTTTTCTTCACTGTTGTCACAAAGTGGTAAACTTATATTGATGAGCTTGACCTACAACTTCATATTTTTCTACGTTTGATTAATTAAAACAAAAATAGGGAAGTAAATAAATGGTAAGTGATAGAACTTTTTTTATCTTACCTTTTCGTACTTTTGAATTTTCATGAAAAGTTTTAAACCAACGTTTAGTATTGTTCAAGTTTTTATGATATACAGTCTTGTGATTCTTTGAATTCATTGAACATTGATTATTACACTTCGTTGTTTGTTTAACTCTTCTTTTTCCTCTTTGCTCTTCCCCCACTACTTCACCAGCCTCTCCTTCACTGACTCCTCCTTTATGCAATCCTTCTTGTTTCATTTGAACAATCTTTTGCATATGATAATCATAAGTATTGATTAATTGACTGAAACTATTGTTAACTAATTCATACTCATTATTACTTGTATTACAAATTGGTAACTTATTAATGTCTACTGGTACTTGGGATGGTAGTGTTCTTGTTGTTGAAGGTGAGTTTATACAAGATTTCGCATTTATACACTCATTAAACATCATCCCTTGGATATAGTTGCTATATACACTGTCGTATGCGTGATTATTGGCATTCTGAGAATGAGTATTCATCATATTTAAACTATTTATACTAGTATTGTTCTGGTTAACTTTAAATGAATTAATTTCTTGTTCATTTTTCAATGTAGAAATTCCGGTGAAATTAAATTGTGACAGAGGCTATTACTATCTCTTGTAGTAGTATTTATGTTATTATTATTATTGTTATTATTACTATAATTGTAATTCATGTAATAGTAGTAATAAAATAAAATATTTTGGTAAATTCTCTCAATAAAGTTATTTGTCAGTATCTTCATTTGTTCACTTTCTTCTCCTTCATTTTTTGCTTTCTTGCTTTGTACTTGATGATTACATTGAGTTTCACTATTATCAGTGTACGCGTTTTCTGTTGTTTTGATCAATGTCGGTTCAATGTGTTCAATGCGTTTTGTTAAATATTGAAAATTATCTTCATTTCTATTATTGCTATTATTATTACTTAGAATATTTCTAATAGAATTTGGTATATTGCTTTGATTATTATTATTATTATCTAATGACATATCTGTACAATTATATGAACTGGAAGGTGTTGTAGAAATGGATAGTGGTACTGAATATGAGGAGACAGACGATGACGAGAATGAGGATGATGCAGAACAGGAAGGTAGAGGAGCACAGAAACCTGTAGATGTGACTGATGCAGAATAGTTGAAGACATGAGGTAGGTTATTCAACGGACTGTTATTTTTATTATCTGATAATTGTGTTATACTTGCAGGTGACAATGTTGAAGATGAGGAACACGGAGATGACAGGGTTGCTGAATTCATCCAGTTATGTGTGATACTACTAGAATTATTTGTTATATTAGTAATATCATTGCTAGTTGGTGTAGTATTCATTGTTGTCATATTATTAGAATTATTTTTAAACCATTCACATAACAGCATCAAATACTGTTGCATTTGTGAATAGAAATTTTCGCATTTCAATTGATCCGTTAACATTTGATTTAAACAATTTGCTTTACAATGTTGATTCAATGCATCCGTTGATTTTGTAGGCACATCTATAAGGTAGGTTTATTTACAGTGACAAAACAGAAGAAAAAAGTGGAGGATGAATATTACTAAACACTTTTATATAACGTGTAAAACATTAAAAACATTGTACTCACTACGTAGTGAATCAGCAGTCTGTTGGGTATTATATAAGATAGACCGTTATAATGAATCGTTATCATCTAGATGGCCTTAGTTTATATATATATTGTTATTAGTATTCCCTTGGGTTCTGAGGATTTCAGTATAACATTTCTACTTCCCTTTGTTCTCCACATTCCTTTTCGATGGCTGCATGATTGAGCATAAGCTTTCGTTTCCTTTTACACTATCTCCTTCATGTCACCCTCCGACGCTGAACTCATCATTCCCATTTGAAGGTTTGGAGCGCAGTATTACTCTACGGTCCAGTCCATTCCCATTTCCATGTACAAACCTTAGTCAATACAGAAACGTTTGAAACATCCACTCTCATAAGCTTGAGAAAGTCATTTGTTATAGAGAATACATCACTATTCATCACGTTTCGGTAACTTCTATCAACCTGAAATACAGAGTTGTAATCACTCATTATTATCCTGATAAATAAATATCTTTATACCTGGATATTTGTCAGTGCAGAGACTGTCAATCTAAGTCTGATCATATCTAAATGATGCGGCATCAAGGATACACTGAGTAACAGCCACATGTCTAATGCCTATACTGTCATTTATATCATTGAATGTCTAAAAATCGCAGCTTCACTGGATTTCAAGAGATAATTATAGATAAGAATATATGTGTTCAGAATAAGTCAAGACCTACTCATGAATTACTGACAACGATGTCTGGGATCAGACTGGAAAATTTAAGATTTAAAACACTAGTTCACATAACAAATCAACTCGAAAGTATTCTTTTCACTATCTACAAATAATATACCCTATTAGAATTACTTATAGTTTATGTATTTATAATGTTGATAATTTAGCTCAGATTTTTCTCTTTATACTCCAGTTTTATATCCAACCTCCAGTTTTGCACTTTTATCACTTTGCAGGATTCGATTTTTTTTTACTTCATTCTTTTGGGTTCCAAATGGAACATAGGACTTAAGCTTGAGTTGTGGAGTTTCAGTACTGGTGGCGTTGTTTTTTTACGGAGCGCGCTGGCTAACTTTGAGCTTAATCCTTCTTCTTTACTGGGTTTAATACCAGCTAAGCGGATGTAGCAGTGCACCACCCTGGAATCGAACCCGGACTGTGAGCATGGTTGCTTCCGCCATGGTATATATGGAATCTAGTTAACACTTTTAAGAAATTTCTCTTAAATAATTTGACAAGTTTATGCATGGTAAATAAACCTCATTAACTTATCTTACTTTCATAAGTTATCTTTAGGGATAGATAATCCCCGTGTCAAAATAAGGTACTGCTACTTCGTTGGTTCAGTAGTAGAATGGCACACAGTCACGGACATCGCCCGGGTTTCGATTCCCGGCAGACTCAATTACAAACCTCGCTAAGGCATTAGTAAACTTGGTAAAGAGGAAGGATTAGGTGTGGGGGTAGCAACTCCAGAACGTAAAAGACCACGACTACTGAAATTCCAAGGCTCAAGTTTGACGCTATGTTTCCCACTAAGAAAGCAATGGAAAGCTAATCTGAATACTTAGAAAATCATGATGACTTATTGAGGATTTTACGAATTTCCCGTCGAATGACCTGTCGATATATTCGGCAATGGTACTGAAGCTGGACAACACCTTGCTGCTAACATAACGTTCCCCAGTTGATAGTGGCTTACAATGAAATCCAAAACTCACTATATGGCAGCTGATTTCGAGTCTGGCTCGGAACAGCGTTACCAATCGTGGATGCAGGTAAATCAGCCGAAAAGAGTCTCAAACAGGACAAAATGTGCTTCTTGAATTCTACTACCAACACGATACTAGTAATAATAATAGTAGTAAGAACAGTCGAAATTTGGACTTGTGAACACTTTAATTAATTCTCTGTAGTAGTCATGATTGCTTATTGTTGAAGAATACCCATTTAGAGTGGCATAATTCTTCAATGCTCTTTCGTTTCCGCTGGTTCTCTAGTTGATGTTAGTTTGTTATTATATCCACACTAAGATAGTAATTATGATATTAATGGTTTGAAGCTATTAAATACGAGACATATGATTAATGCACAAAAATTAAATAATGCATATGGTCTATCATGTCATAATCCCTGATGGTACATCACATGAAGGTGTAAATTAATCACAGATTTTATAAATTAACTGAATTTATTTTGAAATAATTAACAAACTGTCTAAAGCAACCATTTATGTATATCTAGGTACCAAGTCTTCAAATAAAATAAAATTTTGTATTGTGTAACAACAAAAGAAATGATTCATAGGTTAATTCTTCAATGAGTATACCAAGTTCTAATGAAATGTACGGATGTAATACTCCGAAGCATTTGAGTATGTAGCATATGAGCAGTGTAAAAATATGATCTATTTCCGTTCAGACCTACTTAACAAGCAATACATCTGATTAGATTACAAAAAGTAAGTGTCACTATTATTCTCCTCACTACTCATAAGTCCCTTATTATTCTGCCTGTTTTAATTAACCTTGCGTTCCTTCATTTTCATACTACTCAAGTGGACATACAGATGTGTGATCAGATTGTTCATAGTGTAATAATCAGATATATCGCAACACTAATCAGATAAACTTCGTCTAAATTATAAGGCTATGCAAATTGATTAAAGGAACCAACAATTCTTTTAAATACATTGAAGCACTTATAACATGAAATCAGTACACGCTTATTCATTGGTCTCAGAGGTATTTAGCCAACAGATTTGTGGGAAGTGGGTACATTCTACAACAGTGGTTTCACTCGAGACAGAATATAGCAAAGAAATCGAGCTATAGTATTTCTTAAGCCCTGATATTTAATGGCAAATGTTACATCATCAAATAAAATGATTTTGAAGGTGATTCTGCTAAAGGGATTTATTGTATCCAGTATTTGAAGTTGAGATATGCATGTAATCTACACAAATATTCGTGTATGAAAATAAAAGGTTTTCTGAATGAATATCAGAATCTAAAAGTAAAATTTGAAAGCTAACAGAACATAATTTTATATCATTTTCTCTGTTGACTTCTCGAGTTTAAGTATGAAGAATTCGATAGTGCCTTTAGGTTAACTCCATGGCAATGGTTAATACTTTTTGCAAAGATGTGGCTTTCGTATTTCAATGACCTGCTGTTTGAAAGGGTTGGGGTTGAATTCTAGTCTCCGCATGAAGATTATCCCTCACTGAAGACGTAGATACATCCAGTTGACGAATCCTAAATAAAGCTCCACTCCTAACCCGTAGCAGCTAAATAAAACTATCTTCAGATTAATAAAATCATTTATCACCTGGATTCTAAGCAAGGAAACTTTCCATCTCTATTTAACCTTCAGAAGTTGTCGGCTTAATATTATTTTTATGCTGAGATTAGTTACGTTTATCTGTAACATATTTACTGTTACTACAATATTCCTGAATTTTATTAAGTATTTTCCCATTATAAATTTCAAAAGATTGATTAGTGAACAAAGAATATTCTCCTCAATAACTTCTTCTTCATCAGGTTCTACAGTGATATATCCACAACAATTAAAGAAGTGGTTTATTGATAACACTAGTGTTTTCAAATGACATCAAATAAAAGAGATCAATAGATTATAGTTATGATTATTCAACGGGAAGACGAAATGCCTAGTTTAGTCCTGTTCTTGTATCTATCAGTTCAACTGCTCTTGTTGAGCTAGTTGCGTGGGCGATTTTTCTAGAAACACTTTTTTTTCTCAGGACCATCTACCAGAGTGGCTAAATAAAAGTGTGGTAAAACAATTAGTAGTTCGATATTATACCATCCGATACCATATACCATAATACCAGCATATAAGAATCTTTTTCTATCATGTATCAGGTGTAGTATAAATTGCTAAAGGTTTCTAAATGCAGAACATTCCAAACAATAGAAGTTACAGGAATTTGCTTAGAACAACTGGAATATTGCTTACGAAGGTAAGAGGTCCAGACCCTATTGCTATTCTGGCCTGGTGTGAAACCTTTTATTTCACAAGTCCTATATTATTTTCCATAATTGATGTCTTATTCGATTTAGTGTTATATCTATACACATTTTCGTGCATACATGTTCTGGACTGTAAACCACTGATCTTGATGATTAGATGTTATTTAAAAAGGTATCACTGTCATTTGTTTTAATTGTTCAATTCGTTACTTTTCAAACAAATGAGAAATATGTATATTGCTAACTATGAGCAATTTGTGTAGGTTGAAAGCCTGTTATTTCTTATTTCACGTACATGACACATTTATCACTTAAGCATCTTGAATGCTGACAAGTCATTTAAGAGTCTTTGCAAAGATTTAGGCTTGGCTATTTCAAACAAAAGTGAAAATGTGGGCTCACTGGTCTGCCCATTTGGCTTTCGGTCAGTCGTTCACAGGTTCGAATCCCTCTCCACCTGCTTCAGACTACACAGTCGAATAGTATGATCAAACATCATACAATAAATCTGGCTCATAGCCTAATGTACACAGAATCTGTTTCACTCTGAGGGAAAAATGAGACAAAACTAAAGAGATATTCCTCTGAAAATTCCTTAAGACGACTTTATGATAGCAATGGTTTTCAAGAATTGATTTGGAAGGATTAGATTTGTTTTTCGAGTTTGACCACGGATTCATATCAGTTACAGAACCACTGAGAACTAGGGAGTACTGGACAGCTATTTCATCCTAGTTTGGGGATGATCGGCAGCACTCACCCACCACCGGGCCTCGAACTCGGGACCTTTCGATTACAAACTCGTTTAACATTCAGCCACTGACACCTGATTCAATGGCCAGCCATGTATTCTAACTTCTACAAGTTGGTGATTTTTAGCACGATCGCCAATCAATGTCATCGGTGTGAAATCCATCCTCATTCCCG